GACAGCACATACTGCTTCTAATGGCAGCATACTGTGACTTCTCATTAAAACACTATCAGAAAATAGCTCCCAAAAAAAAACCCCTGAATCTCCTTTTCTGCAGCACACATGAAAAAAAAAAAAAAAAAAAAAAAAAAAAAGGGAAAAGCTCGCAGTACAGGAAGGTCTCCCTGATCGAGTGGAAGGTGTTTCTGCCCACAGCAGGGAAGTTGAATATGATCTCTAAAGTCCCTTCCAACCCAAACGATTCTATGACCTGTAGAGTCGGACACAATCCAGGTCTGATTCGCATTGTACTTTCAGTCATGAATGAGCAGCAGAACTGCTGTGGAACGTCAGAAACCTGTGCTACAACCCTGCAAGCCAAGAAAGACTCTGTACTTCAATAAATCCACACAAGGAGTTTCCAAATCACTCCATTACCAAACACAGGGCTTTCTGATGTTTAAAAAGACAAAGTGATTAAGTAAAGCAACCTAAAAACAGGGAAGGAACCTCACTACAGTCACATTTGTTTTGTACTAACATCCAGAGTATTACTGAATGGCTATGAGCACATGGATACATTAAAAGAACTGTATCTCTACAGACTATCCTATATTGACTGACTATTTCACTTACACTTTTGTTATAGGAACAGATACTGTGGATTTCTACAATTATTCCTCCTATAAAATTTCTAGTGTACTAAAGAGGGTATATTAAAGGGAAAATTGGATAGTTCAGTCAATAAGGCTGAAGATGGACAACCACATTTATATAGAGAACTGTCCAAATTTCCTTCACTATTCTACCTCCCGATGCCTCAAATATCCATAAGGGCAGTAGCAAAATTTTTATAAATACTAGGATGAAACAACAATTACTTACTATATTTGCAGAAAATTGAGACACAGAGATTGTAGCAGAACCTCTCCTGCACATTACTGGACAGTTCACAACTCTTTGAAGTTTCCTGACTTCAGTCCCTGTCCATAAAGTGAGTTGGAATTATTATTGGGAAGAACTGGATAGCTCCATATCTGCATAAATGAACACCAGAGGACCTCAAACAATACTGAAGAACACACCTGGTAAAGATTTGTTTCTAAAATAATCATGGCAATACAGAAAAAAGTAATCAGAAAAAATTTCCAGTGGTCATTTTGAAACTAACACAAGATTATATTTAGGGCTTAAAAAGGGAACGTATGTAGCGTGTTTTTTATGGGTATAACACATTTTACAATTGTAAATGGGTAAGCATCAGCTGTGTTTATTCTAAATATTATTCTAAACAGACCCAGCTTTCCCAGAGATAATTTAATAGCAATGAGTGTGTGACCATTCCAATTTCACATATGAATAAATGATGCACATAGAAGTAGTGATTTGTTGTCAAGGGCCAGCAAAGGAAGAAGTAATGTGGTCCTCCAAGTCTAGTCCAACATTCATAGTCAGCCCCTAAAAAAAGTAATTTGAAAAAAAAAGTAATTTTCACCCTAGGAATATGTAAACATGATAGAGGACAGACACCCCTCAGAAACAGTAAAATATGAACCCTTAAACAGAGATTTAAAATGTATTTTTAGTCTATTATCTAGCACTTTCTAAGAAAAAACAAATTATATTTGCATATATTGCAAATATATGCAAATATTGCATCCTTTTTACTTATTCTTGGTCTTCTGGGATCCTAGGTGCTACCAGTTTTTTGCTCCATAAATGCAGAGTCTAGAAACTTTGAGATGTTAAAACATACTCTTTTTTGACCTTATAGAAGAGATTAGAGCCTCATTTAATTGTGACCCCCCAAAGGGGTGGCTTTAGCAGATCCAGTAAATATTAATTTATCATTACAGCACTGCTAGAGGTACCTGTGCACCAAGGAGCTCTTCACTTTTTACCAAAGGGTTTGAGAACTAGTGCACTACAGCAGTTACTGAGAGGACACTCAGTGCAGTGTGTTTAGGTCATTCCAGGTATCTTGCAACACTTTCATGTCACTTCAACAGGACCCCCTTACATGCCAGCCTTTCAAGAATAATCTATCTCCTCCAACAACTAGCTGCACAAAGGGAAGACTGAGGCTCTCAGTTTATTTGTCTGCATAAAATCAAAGGTCAGAGAGGGAGAAGGAAGAGATCTGAAAGTGAGACTGCCAAGAGATTTGGATGGGGACACAAGAGAGGGACATCTGCTCCAGGTGGGTTGGTCAGAATGAGCACAGTGACAGCAGTGTCTGCCATCTCAACACAGTGCCTTCTCCTAAGTCAGCAACATTCCAATTCTTATCTTATTCTTCTTTCAACTAATATTTTATTGTGCTTTTGAATATGCAGCACAGAAAGGAAAGCTGAATTGCCATGTACTGCACACACATTCTTTTCCGAGCAGTCACGTATGCCTAATCAGCAAAAAGCACTTACATTATTTTCACAAGTTATTAACTGAAATGGGAAACCAGCTTACTGTGGTTCCATTACAAAAGAGTTACTGCACTCTGGTGCAGCTGATATAATAAGTATCAATTGGCTTGAGAGAAACCAACTAAGGCTGTACCACAACATTCAGTCTTGCATTTCCCCAGTATTTACTTGATTGCCACACACAACCTAGATCTAATCCCATAAAATGAAAGAGAGGTGCTGATTTTCAAGTTCATGCAGATCTTCAGGCCTCTGTGTAAAACAGAAACAGAATGAGAAAACAGTTGTGTTAATAAGAATATGAACAATCCAAAGAGGTATACTGGTATTAAAGGTTCTCAGCACTTTTCATCTGCTTCCTAGGACATCAGCCACAGTCAATGCAGAGCTGTCATCAGAATCTGCTTTACCCAAGTTTTGCACTTAATTCTCACGTTAGTAGCTATTTTCCTCTTTCAAGCCAATAAAGATCCATGCCGAGCTATCAAATCAACTCCTTGGCCATGCTCAAGAAATTTTTCCTGTTAACCTCATCACATATTTCATCTCAAAACTTTTTTTTAATGTAGATATGGAAAGGATTATTTTCTAAGCCTAAATATTAAACTTCATTAACATATCTTTATATATTTAAGGCAGTATAAGGATGCAGAAATACATTATCAAACTGCCAAGAGACATTTCAAGCACAGCAAACACCAGTGCCCCTTATGCAGTTGGAGCTCTGCTGTCATGCACAAACAGATGCATATTCTTCCCTTCATCTTTCAAACACTCCATGGACAAGGTCAGCTTTATTATTCATCTGTCACATTTCACTTTGTATGGGAGCCAAAGAAAACCAAGAAAGCAGTAGCAACAAGGTTGGTTAAACACAAAGTAATGAAAAAGCATTTAAATCACATTCTTTTAGGGCATTTTTCAGTGGCATTATGCAGCAACTATGACATAGGTTGCTCAGCTCACAACAAGACACAATACAAACCCAAAATAACAACTCAAGCATCAGTCAGCAGTGTAAACGTGGCCTGCCTGAGAATATCTGAAAAATACAAATATATTGTGGCTAGGCTTTGGCTAAACCAAGTTGCCTACCAAGCTGCTGTCTCTCCTCTTTGACAGGGAGGGAAGAAAAAAAAATGAAAATAATAATGGATTAAAATAAAGACAGTTTAATAATGCAAAAGCATAGGTCAGGCACAGAAGCAAAAGAAGACAAAAGATTTAGTCTCTATTTCCCATTAGCAGATAATGTTCAGCTACTTTTTGGGAAGTAGGGCTTCAGCCCATGTAGGCAGCTGTTCTAGAAGACAAATTTCATAATAATAAATGCCCTACAACCTTTTCCCTTAGCCGTTATTGCTGAGCAGACCTCATATGCTCTGGGATACCCCTTTGCTCAGGTGGGTCAGCTGTCCTGGCTCTTCTCCAGTATGGGTCTCTTCCACCACAGGCTGCAGTCCTTCAGGAACAGACTGTTCCTCAGTGGGTCCCCATGGGGTCACAAGTTCTGCCAGCAAACCTGCTCCTGCACTGGCTCCCACAGGTTCATAAACTCCTTTGGGTACATCCACCCGCTGCAGGGGTTCTCCCTGGACTGCAGGTGGATCTCTGCTCCACCATGGACACCCACAGGCTCCAGGGGCACAGCTGCCTCACCACAGCTTTGCACCACAGGCTGCAGGGGAATTTCTGCTCTGGCACCTGAAGAACCTCCTGCCCTTCTTCTTCACTGACCTGGGTGTCTGCAAAGCTGTTCTTCTCATATTCTCACTCCTCCCTCTGGTTGCAGTTGCTGTTGTGCAGGTTTTTTCCTCTTCTTAATTCTGTTGTCCCAGAGGTGCTTCCAGCATTGCTGATGAACTCAGCTTCGGCCAGCAGTGGGTCCATCCTGGAGTCAGCTGGCATTGGCCTGTTGAATGTGGGGGAAGGTTCTCACAGAAGCCACCCCTGCAGCTCCTCACAGAAGTTTTGTCTGCTGTTGTTCATGGATTTGGTTTGTATGAAAGACAGAAGTAACAAAAATTAGTCCCTTCTGGCTCTTGGGAGATCCCACTGGAATTCCTGGGCGTGCTCTCCAAGATGCAGGGGCTTCTCTTTGACCATAGACAAATGTGCAACTGTAACACATTTTTACATGTTGTAACACATTGTAATTGTAAAACAAACATATCACTGGCTATTTCACATCCAGGACATTCCTTATGAAGTTCTGACAGTTTCTTTAGTCAGAGGAAATTAGATCACTCAAACCTTGTTTCCTGGAGTTGACAGCATTTGGTCCATAGGATGCATAGAATCATTGTTTTTCCCTACACAAATGAGTCCCTAGGCCTTTGAACACAATTAAGGTTGAATGTGGCAGTCTGAGCTTTAGAATGTAGGATCAGGATTTGAATAGGGCAATAAATAGAAAATGTCAAATAAACACCATGTTAGAAAACCCCACTTTCTGTAAATGTTACCAGAGTCATCTTTCATACAAGCACCTTACTTTTTCAAGAGTTAACATCACAAGGTGCTGCCCCAAACCTTCTCATAGAGGATGCCACAGGAATAGGTTCACGAAGGTATTGCTCCAGGCCAAACCAAATGGTAGTGAAAGGAATGAAGTCAAGGTCTGAGTCAAAGAAGAGCCCTGCAGCAGAACAGAGAGCCAGTAAGGAGTTCTGTCAGTACAAAGATAGAACCACTAAAGCAGTCACACAGCCCCAGTAAGGTAGGAGGAGAGGAGGAAAAAACTGGAAAGAAAAAAAAAAATGCCTGTGGGCTGCAATGCCAGGAGTAACCAAAAGATTTTTGACAGGTCACAGAGTCAGGAAGCATTTCTGCACTGACAGCCTCTATGTCTTCAGCTGGAATGTAAACTAATATGTAAACTTGTAATAATGTAAACTTGATATGAAGACACAGAACACAGAACCACTCTTGTTTCAAAACTTAGATATAAACACAGAGATTTTTAAATTTTTGCCTCATTTCTAATCTAAATTTTTCTGGCTTCAGCTTTCAGCCACTAGTTTTGGGGTTTGGGGGTTCTTAGCCCTTTTCTGCTGTACTCTCTGTAAGACTCTCTAGAAAGCAGTATTTCATTCTCATCCCCCAAAATCAAGATCTCAGGCTCAAGTCATTTTGTCATCTCATTTATGACAGTCTCTATCAGTACACCACAGTAAGATCACAGAACTGCTGGAAGTCTCCCTGTGCAGGAAATCGTTTCCAGGCCTCCTGTTGAGGAACCATTGCTGTAACTGCACGGACAACATAATTACAGCAGGAGTGGAATTAGAGATCTCCAGGAAAAAGGACTCCGTCTTGCATGGGTTTGTGCACTTTCCCTTCACCTGCTGGCACACGGTACTTTGCAAGGTCAGCCTTAAAAAGCTGAATTCAACAAGTGTAAAGTCATGAAGAGGAATAAAGGTAAACACTAGTGACTCTTCTCCCTCACTCCTGGGTCTCAGCCGGGTCCCTCAGCCCTCAGAGGGACCCATCCGCAGCTCTCGAGGAGCCGGGCACCGGCACAACTTCCCCGCAGCCGCTCCGCGCCCCCGAACCAGGCTCCCAAAAGTTCCCGCCGGGCTGCGGGAGCGGAGGGAGCGGGCGGCGCGGCCCCAGGGCGGTGAAGGGCCGAAGGCGAACGGGCGGTGAACGCCTCCGTGCCCGCCCGGGGGAGGCGGCCGGCGCTGCGCGGGGAGCGGGGCACGGCGCGTCCCACCCCCGGCCTTGACGCCGCGCGCTAATGAAATGCTAATGCCGGGGCGCGCAGCCGGGCGCTGCCCGCGCACATAAAACGCGGCGCGGCGCGGGGGCCCTGCCCGCAGCCATGCAGAGCGCGGCCCCCGCCGCCCCGCCGGCCCTGCACCTCCTCACCTCCTACTTCATCGACAGCATCCTGGGCCGGGGCCCCGCCGCGGGCCGGCACGGTGAGGGGCGGCGGGGAGGGCGGCGCGGTGACAGGTGGCCCGGTGAGGGGCGGCGGGGTGGCTCCACGGCCGGCCGCCCCAGTAACTCCGCGGTTGTCTCCCGCAGGCGCGGAACGCGCGGAGACGCCGCGGCCCGGCCGAGCGCGCAGCCCCGCGGAGGAGCCGCAGGCGGAGGAGCGTGAGGAGCGCCCGCCCGGCCCCGAGGCGGCGGGTCCGGTGAAGAGGAAGCAGCGGCGGTACCGCACCACGTTCAGCACGTTCCAGCTGGAGGAGCTGGAGCGCGCCTTCTGCAAGTCGCACTACCCCGACGTGTTCACCAGGTAGCGGCGGGAGGGGCGGGCGCGGCCGGGCCGGGCGGCGGGCGAGCTCCGGCTCTAACTGAGCGCTCTTCCCGCAGAGAGGAGCTGGCCCTGCGCCTTGACCTGACGGAAGCCCGGGTGCAGGTGAGTGCCGGAGGGGACGAGGGACAAGAGAGGGTTGAACACGGAGCGTTTTCGCTCGGGTTCAGCCGGGCGGGAAGGGAAGAGTGGCGGTGCCGGGCACGCGTCCTGTCCGCGGCGGGTGGTGCTGAAGGGACGGAGCAAGCGGCGCGTTACCTCCGCGGCGGGGAAGCGGCGGCTCGGGGGCATTCCCATGTTGCGCTTCACTCCCGCTTGTGCTGCCGCCTTCATGGGTCGAAAAGCAGGAATAAAAAAGGATAAATTAGGTTGTTTATAGAAAATGAGGGGTTCTGTGGGGTATTCGAAGTTATTTACTGAGGCTGCAGAGTTAGCATCCTTCTCTTGGTCTAACTTAGCTCAATAAAACTAAAAACGCTTCTTAATGACCGGATAAAACAAATGAAATATGAATTTGACATTCATATATGACAGTCAGAGAATTCTGACAGGTCCTGTCCCAGAGAATTTTATGTCCAGCTGGGCTGTGATTGCAGCAATGCCTGTAAAACTTCAGCATACTTAGACAGACACTAATTCCTTGTAGGCTGCAGTTTGCTTAAACTGCAAACGACTTAGTAACTTTTTCTGACTCTATGAACTCTTCCTTAATAATATCCCTTAAAAATCCTTTTTTTAGATTCATCTCTTGATAACCTAGAAATCCCCTTTTTATACAGAAAAGTATAACCTAAAAATTTTTATACAGAAATTATAACCTAAAAAAAATAAATAAACAAATAATAAAGTTGTTTCAAAAGGTGTGAAGACTTTCAAGTATTTATAAGCTGCAAATGACAATTGTACTAAATTTGGCTTGTGCTATAGATCAGATATTGACTGTTCCAGCACAACTCTGAGTATGTGCCTACTTGTGAAAGACTGAGAACTGGTGCAGCTGCTCAGTGCGACAGTCCTGCTTACTACTGCATAGCTTTGATACTGTTAATGCCAGATCCTTCTTTGAATACTATGTCATTACTCCAGTCTCTGGATCTGCAATGGTTCACACCACAGTTACAGTCTGTAAAACTGTAACTTTTTTAGCTTTTTGTTTTAATATGCACCATCTCCAAAAAAGGCATTAGAAGTATGAATGGTACTGTATAATTGACTCAAAGAACACCTAGATGAGCTTTTTAGCTCTCTTTTGTGGACTTGAGGGGAATTATGTATCCTCCACTCTTCCTAACACCAACAATGACTAAAACCTCCAGTCACTGACATCCCCCAGTCTCTGACAATTGCACATGGCATCTAACAATGAAAAAGACATGGGTGAAAAGTTGTTACTTTAACTGTTACTATCAAATTCCCTTTGTGGGGTACATACTCTGTAGAGCCCGTGAAGGAATGGTGCAATGGTCCATGGCAAAGAGGAACTCATCTCCTAATGACTCATCTAGGAAAAAAAACCAAACAAAACCAAAACATTTGTTTGATGGAGCCAAAAAGGAATTAACAAGAAAATTAACAAGAGTTGATGCATCCCCAGGGGATGGAAGGAACAGCAAAGAGCTGTTCCTGGTACGTCTTTGCCTCCTTAAACTGTTAGGTCTTAACACAAGTCTCCTGAGCACGGGGCACAGAGTCAGCACAGCTGTTCAGTGTGAGCCTGCAGTGCACAGAGCCAAGCCCCAGCTCCCACCCTGTGGCAAACTGGGCTCAGCCTGGATGGAAGGGGATGTGAAGGAATGACAGTGATGTACTGAACTTAAACCACCATAATTACCAAATACTTTGTCCATGCTCATAGTTGCTCTGTAAGGCATCCTGTGTGAAATGAAGACTTCCAATCCTCTCCCATGGTACCTGGCTAAATCACTTGACATGGAAAGTGGCATCTCTTTACTTAGTCAAGTGTAAACTCAAGAAATTAATCTTACCCAATGCAGTCAGACCATTTCTTCACCTCAGTGTCCTTTACAAATGGAGGTTTGCTTGTCTGGGGAGAAACCAGCTGAAATGGGTACCAGCCACTGCATTGTTCCTCCTCTGGCCTTTTGAGTCTCACATAAAAATGAACAAATAAGAAAAAAACCTGGCATGAATATATGCTCAGTCCATCATCATTTCAAAGAGTTCTCCTTCATCCAACACCCCCCTTATTTACTTTTCTAGAATAAGGGAGAATTCCTTCCCAATAAGATTCCTTACCTTGGGAAAGAGGTAGTCAGAGAGTCTGCAAAACCTTTTCATAACCTGGACTCATGTTGGGATTGCTCTTCAATAGCATTTGCATCTGTTGTTGCCATTCATGTTTCTCATTATTCACATTGTTAGGATGGGAAGAAAATAAGAAGAAGTTAAAGGAATCTTTTATCTTGTTTAATGTGAGGGGTAAAAGGTTTCATGGGTATTTCATTGCCATAAACTGCATCAGTTTTAAAACATTGGCTTACAGATATAACTGATCAAGAAATCCTTGTCATATTTTCTCATTATGATCCTCTTATTCACTTACAGCAGAAACATGATACAGTTATGCACATCTATGTATCTTTCTAGCATCATTAGGTATTACGTCAATTAAATAGGATACATTTTTTACAGAAAATTACAGCAAGAAAGCAATCAAATTTTACATGCTCACATTTTCCTTTATAAAAGACCTGAATCTCTTGTCAGACATGCATGATGCTACTAATTGCAAATATAATCTGGGTGATATTTAGCATGCAATTCAAAACTTGATGGTTTAAAACTCATTCTTGAGTATTAAGTAATACTTTTTTTCTAGAGTATTTTGCCATTGATATTACAGGCATAAAAATCTTAAGACTGGTATAGCAGTTTCTGTTATGGTTAGTTTGTCACTTCAGAAGTGTCTGAAAATAGAATAAGGGCAAGTTAAGGCTTTTATTGGAAGCAAAGGAAAACTGCTTAACAAATAGTGCAAGATGACTTATCTGAATGTTAATGACTATAAAGTGTGCAGTTAATTTTGAAAGCTGTTTGTCATGTCAGTCTAAGGTATGAGGCATTGGTCTACTCCTGTTACCACTTGAACTGATGGGTTTGTACCAACAAGGAATGGAAAGCCAGCTTTTTTCTACCAGTAATTATCAGATATCTGTGCTGCTATTTCCTTCCAGTTTGAGAAATACAAAATCTGAGAGACAATTAAATTTTGGAGTTAAGCCCAAAATTACCTGTAACATTAAAAAAAAATATTTTGTAGTCAAAGTTCATGTCTGAGTGATCAAATGGATTTGCTTTAGGATGGAGAAAACAGAAAAGCAGACATTTAATTTTGTGTTAGGCTTCTTTATGAAGAACAGATTGAAGAACAGTGCTAAGATTTAGTAAGGACATGAACACCCTTGCAGCATCTATCCTTTTTAGGAAAGGCTGTATCTGCATATCTCAGTGTGAGACAATTATTGCCTTTTCAGCTGGATATTTTTCATAGACAACACTAAACCTTTGAGTTGGTGGTCTTCTCCTGTGAGATCTTAGGTAAACTCCACTTACAAATATTTGAGATTCCTGGTTAACAGGGATTTAAATTAATCTGATCCCAGTAATTTAGTTTTCCTTACCAGACCCCTGTCTTGGACTAACAGTGATGGAGTATCTCGTCCTCACTGCCATGCAGGCATAGCTGCCTGGCATTTCACAGGTTCAGATATCCCTTGTAAAACATCTTACTATTGAAAGCTGATGGTTCCTAGAGGAAAAACCAAATAATGAGTCTTGCCACTCAAGAATTTCAAGTACCAACTTCAAAATTTTGATGTTCTGATTTTCTGCTGAGTGCACCTCCCTCTGCCGACTGCCTGTGAGCGAGACAGTTCTGTGCTACACACTAAATCTGAGGGTGCAAATCCCTCTGCAGGAGAACAGCAGCTTTCCAGTGTAAATACACTGCATGCAATGGAAGGACCAGCACCGTACTGCTTCAGCTGGATCCTGAGAACCCCGGGACAAGGGCTTTGAAAGAGTCAATTGTGTCTCTGTCAATTGATAGAGAGAAACAACATCAGGCTCGGGACAGCAAGGCTGGGGCGTGCCACAGCCTTGTCTGGGGATCAGCACTGGGTGTGTGCAGGGCTTTTCTCCCACACACACTTCATGACATTCAAGCACCGGAAGGTAAGTTACACTGCTGGAAATGGTCATAGGGCATGGCTGAGGTAAAGCAATCTGAGTCCCTCAAAACCTGGTTTTTAAATACTGTAGATGCTATTTAAAACTTCTGGAAAACAATTTTTGCACTGTATTATAATTGCCACCTCTTGAATGGCTTTGTTGAAATTTAATTTTCAATAAATAGGTTATGAAAGGAAGAATGATGATCATTTTTAGTAATTGCTCTTGCATTTCAGGTGATAGGTTAATAAATGAGAATGGCTTTAAAACATTTGTGACTCTTCAGTCAATATTGAAATATACAATATTGAATACAATATTGAAAAGTGATTTATTTTGTAATAAACCCACTAAGGCCTTTATGAAAAGATCTTTTATGTTAAGGAAGTGGGGTTTGGTTAAACAGTAATTATTTTTCCATCCATATCAATACATGCTGTAATAGCTGGTAAGACAAACTGCAGAGTAAGTTCAGCTAATGCCTTTATAATTTCTTATTGAAGGTCTGGTTCCAAAACAGAAGAGCCAAGTGGAGGAAACGTGAAAAAAACGAAATTCTGGGGACTGTTCCGGGAATCTCCTTAACTCACCCACTTGGTCTCTTTTTGGATGTTCCACTGGGTCATTCTCCCCTCCTAGATCACACATGGAGGTCAATGCCTCTTTCAACATTGGCTGTGCCGTCCATGTCCCCAGCTTTTAGTCCTTCAACCTTAGGGCCATTTGGCCTCAGCAGTCTTACCTGGACTTCTCTCTTCAGAAATCCCATATTAAATCCACATTTTGGCAGGTATAGAATAATTTTCTTTTCTCTAAATTTCAAAACTGTTAAAAATGCTGCTTTTATATTATTTTGCTGCTTGCATGTTCTCAATAAACTTACTAAAATAGGTTAGCTCCTGTGTAGGATCACTTGATTAGGAATAGCTAGATTTGGGTTTAAGTCATGCTAATAAAATCCTAATGTGTAGTTGCTTTTTGAAGACAAATTGTGCATACTTACTGCAGTTTTGGTCTCACTGAACTCTAGTCTTCGTACAGACTGCTGTGACCTGTGTGGCTGCAGCTCCATCCTTCTCCCTCTCACTCTCTCAAGTATAAATACATTATATATAAAATATGTAAATACATTATATATTATATGTAAGTATATACATATATATAAAAAAATAGAAGATAGCACTCTTGCTGAAATTGGATCTTGTATTTTAGTACTACATTAACAGACAAACGCTTTTCACATGGAATCAATTGATCTGAACAAATTGTCTGCACAAACAGCAATATAAATTGGCCTTTTTATGAGGTGGCTTATTGCTTTCACAGAACAGGCTGATCTACAGCATCCAAGGTTTGTTTAGAAAGAATTTCACATGAGGGGGTTAAGCAAAGGGTTGCTAGTTTAGATATCTGCATGCCATGTCTCATTATCTCTTGCTCATTTTATTTAAAAGTATTTTGGTTTTTTATTTAGGGTGGAGTTTTCTGCTTGGGTTTTGGTTGCTTTTTTTTTTTTAAGGGCAAGCCACTATACTGCTGAATAAAGCTTAAAAAAATGTACATTTGAATGAAATTGGGAATTTTGGAACTTTTTTTCCTAATACTTTGTTGGGGGAAGCTGCAACTCAGTAAGTATTTGTTCTCCAAAACAATTCTTAATTTGGGTAATATTGACTTCTTTCAAATACAGGTTTCTCAATGCTTTAAATCCTCTCGTGACAACAGCTTCAGTACTAATGAAAGCTCCTGGACCCCCGTCAGACCCTGTTCTCACTGCCTTCACTGATCCAGCAGCAGTTGAAAGGAAAACGTCAAGCATTGCAGCACTAAGACTCAAAGCGAAAGAACATTCAGCACAAATCCCTCAATTAAACCTCATCTCCAGTCTTACAAACACTAACAAAGAACTTTGTTAGGAGCTCTCCCACAGACTACAGCCACGGAGGGGAAAGTGAATGCCTTCTCCAATAAGTAGCTCTCATTAGAGAGACACATTTGAAAAAAGAAAACACACACACACACACACAGAGCTGTATTTCCTGCAGCTTCAGTAACAGACTGAAAGGAAATAAACCTGCTAAATATTGTTTTCCTTCATTACAACATGAAATCAGGCAGTAAATTGGTTTGTATAATTTCTTGCACTGCAGAAACAGAAGCAGGAACTGTCTCATCTGTGTAAATCAGGCTAACATGTATCTGAAGCTTTGAAATCACCGAACTCACCAGAAGCTAGTCCAAAGGCTCAAAATTCTTTGTAGGAATAACCACTTTTCTAAGCAATTCTTAATTTCTCAGGAGGAACTCTTACATGCAGTACTTGAGAATCAGTGCACAGTTATTAACTTGGAGACCATGCTTCATGTTGAAGTGCAAATGCCAGTGAAATATTGCATTCTAGACAGACTTAGCAGGAATGAGATGGGGACTATTTTCAGTATGGGCTTTTGATTCAGAACTAGGTTAGTGTAAAGAGTACCTTGTTTCAAATTTTTAAAAAATTTCCTTTATGTTCAGGGTGTCAATGTCTTAACTAAGAAAGTTTAACCTCTGTACATGAACTGTATCCTGTGAAAGTAGGTTAGCAGTGTGCAGTAAATTGTCTGTAGGTCTCTGTGTAGGTATATACATGTCAATCAGTAGCTTATAGCTGTAAATATGAGGTTGCTGAATACTTTTAGCAAGATTTCTGGCACACCTTACTGGGCCAGTAAGTTAACAGATTACTTGTATATTTTGAGACATTTCATGCTTTGAGTAGTTTCAGAATGTAAATGAGTACTCAATGTGACGTGTTAAATTCTTCCTTGGACCAATGTTGAAATGAGTGAAAACAGAGGCCTTACTGAGCCTAAGTCTACAGTCCATCACAATCCTGGACTCCATGACAGGTCATTTTAAAGTCTTTGCTGAACTTCCCCATCCAGGACCAGAGGCAAGTATCTTCATTCATGTGCATGACAGCTCCTGCCAGAGCTGGGAGCTGCTACCTCCACCCAGCACACCAAGCCACTCCAGCACAAGTGTGGGAAGTGCGGGGTTGGACAGCAGGGCTGGCTCCCAAAACCTTGTCAGTTTGGGTGTTGCTCTGTCCTAATTCTCCTTAAAAGAGGGCACGCTTCTCCAACACATCCTCCTCTCCTGCTGAGACCACAGCCTTCTGGGTACCACTCCCCTGCCAGCTGTGAACTCCTCCCAGTGTCACACTTGGGCCAGGACTGTCTCCTTCAGTGCACACTTCTGCATGGCTCTGCAGCTTCAAGCCACTGTGCCCAATTTGACACATGGCAGAATAGCAAAGGTAAGTGTATTGCCTGCTCTGTTCCTGGTTAAGGAGAAGTTGTCATCCCTGTGCTATCTGGGCAGGAGCCAGTGTCTGCAATCATCAGCAGTTCCCAATGGGTATAGGTAGAGAACACAGCTTCCTGATGTTTCAGATGGGTTTACTTTGAAATTAAGAGCTTTTCTTTAAGGTGATTTCATTTTTTCTGCTTTAACGAGTCCTTCCAAGAAATTTCCATTCTTCCATGTCATTTGAAATCCAGCTGTGAGAGCTAATGGTATTAGGAAAATAAATATGCAGGGTAATACTTGAAATCAGCTTAGGAACCACAGAGTGCTCATAACCAAAATCCAGAAAGTTTTATGTGCTAATTATTACTACCTTAAAATGAAATATCACACCAAGGGAAGAAGTCTTATTTATTCAATCTGTTTAAATTTTTAAAAAAAGAGGCTTAATTACCAGCTTTTATGGATATAGTACTAAAATTACATTTTAAAAAATTTTGGAGAGCTATTAATTGAAAAACCTTCAGCTTAGTTTCATAGCTGCACATGGGGTCAACTATTTGCTATTAACCAAGCAGAGACCTGTGCTTTCCTAGACTTTCTCAGGGCAATGGGGTCTGCAGCCTCCCCTATCCTGAACAAGTCAGCCATTTTACAGAGCGTGTCTCACACTAAACATTGCAATTATTTCCTGACATTTTATCTTGCCTTGTGCAATAAATTATTTAGTCCTAATTTAGGCAAAGCCTGCACTGACCTGGATTGAGACTGCAGTATTTGTCCCTATGCCTCTCTTCTGAATAAAGAAAGGTTGCAGCCTAAATCTTCTAATCTTCTCTGGGTAACATCAAGATTGTTTCCTGGCACAGATTTCAACTGAAGCAGGCCTGAAGTCCTGGTTGTTTATTGGGTTTATCTGATTTTCCTGAAAGCAAAAATACATGGGAGGATTTCCAAAGCCACAAAGAAATTTGAATACAATCCCACCCCAGCCATCTTCTGCAACTACTGAGGAAAAAACTCTTATCTTCAAATTAAACTTCTTGACTTTACCCCCCACATCACAAGTTTTTGAGGTGTTTTGCTGGAAGATCCTGCAAGCATATTAGTATCTCTTCAGAAAACATCGATAAATACTTCTACTGGAGGACTCACATTTGGCTAAATGGTCAAATTTTTTTCAGTTTGTCCTCTGGTTCACGTTCAGTTCTGGTGCCATAGGATGCTGGATAAATTTCCGTATTTCCAGTGACATTATATCATCAGAACCTTGCCTACAAAGAGTGAGCGATTTTGTTGGGGGAAAGAAAAAAAGGAGAATAATAGGCCAGGTGTTTGAAGAAAAGACAAAGAAACAAGCACAGTAGGGTGTTCTGACTCACAAATCTGTATTGAGAAAGAAGTATTCATGAAGAAAATTAATTTAAGAAGTATGTAGTTCAGGTTTTGAGCCCATAAGTTCCTTTCAAAAACAGATTAGTGATTAAAAACTTTTTTAGTCTAGCAATCTCTTAAACAATTAGCACAGTAATTGGAAAGGGACTACAAATTCAAATCTAGATGGACATAAAAGACTTTCCCCATAGAGCTTTGCCTTGGTTTTGTGGGTAACTGGCACGCACCTGCCTTTACCATCAGTGGGACTGAAATACTGAAGAAGTGCTCTGAATAGGGATACAAATGCCCCAAACAGTAATGCCATACAAATTACTTAATTCATGTAAAGTAGAAGTAATTGTATTGATTATGAATGTGTGAGTGACTCCTTTATTTCAGGTTATATGAGATGTAAGCCAGCAGCTTTCAATGGGGTCCTTGCTGCAAATTTGCCAACCATAGAGTGGGATGTTACTTTTTTCCTTAGCTTGAGCAATAAGTACAATGCACTGCCGTTTGGAAACAGAGATCTGCTGAATTTAAGCTAAACCAGGTAAATAAGGATTTCTCTCCTCCAGCCAGGCAGTAGTTTTGCTCTGCTTGTGCATCCTGGGAAAGATGCCTGAAATCAAAGAAAAAGGAACATAAGGGAGAAACATCCCCAAACTTCAGATGTTTTTCCTCAAAGTAGAACCTTTTTTTTTTCTTTTTGATATTATTGCCATAAAACACCATGGATCACTAGATAAAATCTACACTGCCAAAAGAAAAGAAAAAGCAGGGAGGGAGGAAGAGATTGTGCACAGTGTGTTCCTAGCAATACAATTACCTAACAGCAAATGTCTGACCTATGGCTTCCCAGGAAGCTGTATGAAGAGCACACGTGGGAAGAAGCCTGTGATAATACACACACACCTGTACTTCACTCACAACAGCTGCACTGCCACCCAAAAGACACAAAAGGCAGCTAAGGACAGGGCACTTCTGTAGACCTTATAGTCGAGCAGTTCTATGTATGGACTCTAAAGAAATCCAGCTAGTGGGCTGTGTCACAGTCTGCCCTGGATTTTGGATATCCCTCCTGCCCATTTTATTATTATTATCCCTCCTGCCCCATCCAGGCCTGAGAACAGGGCTGTCCTTGCTGCACGTGGAGGAGCCACAGCACAAGCAGCTCAGGCATGACTTCACAGCAGCTGCTTGTCTTCTCCTCAGTCTCTGGTCACACTGCCCTTACCAATTAACTACTGAGGTTGCCAAAAAATGGGAGGAAAACCTGGAAAGAACATCATATTCTCTATTAACTTCCTTTGTTGGCTGCAGCAATGTTTCCTATATTTCAGCTGGAGAATTGCTATGTGCTGGCTGGTGAGAAGACAGTGGAAGATTGGGATGAGCTTGTAAAGTCACACTGGTTGAGTAACAAAACTTTTACATTAAAAATATAACTGAATGGAGGATTGTTGGTTTGGTTGGGTTGGGTTGTTGGTTGGGTTTCTTTATTTTATAAAAACTACCTTATCAGAAGTGACCTGAAGAAAAAGTAGGACAAAATATCTGATGTTACAAATAAAAACTTCAGCCTTTGGTGTGAGCAGCATAGTGACATTATTGTGAACTAAAGCAGAAGCAGACAAGACAGCTTGAATTACAGTTTCATCTGGTTCAAAAGGGTTGCTAGTGAAATGTATTTAAGGGATCTGCTAAAGAAAAGAATACATTGCATTTTGTAAGTACCCAGTCACAGCTAGAGATTTTGACAAAAGTTGACTTTCACACGCAATTAAACACAATAATTTCAGTTTTCTAGTTTCATAGAAGCTGATCCACAGACTGCCCTATCTCCAGGGTTATTTTGTACTGATAAAAAATCACGGGATTAATGTTTGTGAAAGAAGACAAGAAAGGACAGCATTATTATAGCCTTATTTTCTATATATCCCAAAGTGAATATAGGAAGAGAAGTGAAGCAGGCTGAAATGTTAATGTATGAGAAGAGCCTGGAGACACTCTCATCACTAAGTTATCAGAACATCTCAGTCTTACCTCTGTTTGTGCTCTCTCAAACTGAACTAGTAGAGAAGTTGCTGACAGCAGCAATAAAGTTTTCAGGTGATGTTTGGCACTGTGTACATTCAGCTTCTTTGTACAGAGCTGAGCAAAGAGAAAGCAAAGCAGTGAGGGGGCTATTTTTGGAGAACACAGGAGCAAATGAGAGAGATTCTTACTTGCTTCCCAGCTCAACAGC